ATCTCTGGACCTTGATCGTGGTAGTTACCTTGCTGTCTATGGGAGGATCAGACAGCTCTCAGATTCCATCAAAAATATCTTAACTTGTGTTCGGTGCTTCAACAAAATAATGACACAAGAAACTGATCCTTTTTCCAACTCAATGCTTATGTTTTTTATTTTATTATTTATTATAATTTTATTATTAGTTAATCTTTCACTTGTATGTTATTGTTGCACTGAGTAAATACAGCTGGATAAAACAAAAACTGTGTCCGTCTTCATTTCAGGCTGCAAAACAACAAAAAGTGATTATTTTAAAGGGGGGGTGATTCTTTTCTATACCCACTGTAATAATGCTTCCCCCAGCTAAACAGTCCCTCACACTTCTCTCACATCAAAATCCTCCCACATATTTATTTAGAACGGTTTTCGTTTTTATAAACTGTGTTTCATCTGTGCATATCCCTCTCCTGATTCAGACTAGACGACTTTTTCACTGGAGAAAGCAGTATTATGGATAGTGGACTCGTTTGAAGTTAAAAACGTCTTGATTGATTCGTTTCTTACAAACACGCAGCTTTTCACTTCACAAGACATTAACTGATGGACTGGAGTGGTGTGGATTACTTGTGGATTATTGTGATGTTTTTATCAGCTGTGTGGACTCTCATTCTGACGGCACCCATTCACTGCAGAGCATCCATTGCTGAGACACTGATGCAATGCTACAGATATGATGAAGAAACAAACTCATCTATATCTTGGATGGTCTGAGTGTGAGCACATTTTCAGCAAATATTTCAATTTTCAGTCAACTATTTCTTTAAAAACATACTCCTCTAGTAATCAGTGTCAGTCCATGTGTTAAATACATGATTTTCCCGAGGCACAGAATGCCTCGTTTTCCATCAACAATTCCAAAGCGTCTTCGTTTCCCGGTATCGGTGCAGTCAGTGCAGATGAGTGCATGACTGGGTAAACACTGGGTTATAATGGCGAGTCTGAATGCGAGGGCTTGTGGATGAGTTATGGGTCCCCGCTGCCAAAAACAAGTCGTCAAGTCTGGAGCGGCCCGTCCTGGAGCTGTGTTTGCCCATCATCTCTCTTGCCTTTCACCCCCACACAAACCCACCTCGCCCTCTGATGTCTGTGTGCCTTCGTTAATGAAGAAATTCTCGTACCTGGGTGAGACATAGCAGTCAGCTGAGCAACTCTCGACCGCTCGCCCCGGACAGAGCTACATATACCCACCCACAGCAGTCCCAAATAAAACATTACAGCTGCTTCATGCCTCGGATGACCAGCTTTACCACGTCTCTCAGAATAACTGATGAAAAAACACACAGCAGATCTCTTTAAAATCTCTGTCTTTACTCCTACACAGCATTGAGATTAAATAGAGAGCAAATGGGGAACTTTAGGGTCCAAATTAAGGCCCCTGATTTTTTTCCTTGAGAAATTTCGGTTAAACTTTAGTTTGGGGACCAATTCTCACTATTAACTATGACTTTTGCATCAATAAACTCCTAATTTGCTGCTTATTAATAGTTAGTAAGGTAGTTGTTAAGGTTAGCTGTGGGTTGATTAAAGGATCTAGAATATGATCAGGCAGAATAATACATTAATATGTGCATTGTAAGTACTAATAAACAACCAATATGCTAATAATATGCATGCTAATAAGCAACTTAATGAGAATTGGTCCCTTACCAAAATTTCATATAGAGACAGATTTGCCAATGTCTGCAATAAAAACATCTCAACAGAAACTCAAACACTTGTCAAATTATCAATTTAACCATTGGTAAAAATAAGTACACTTTTAAAAAGAGTATTTATTACAGAAATAATATACTTTGAAATAATACTGAATGTAATGCTTTCAGACACTTCAATGCATGTTAACGTATTAGAAATTAAATGTTTATTAAATAAATGATCTGAACATTAGAGTGTTTTTTTTTACCTACTTAAGTAGGACTTAAGTACACTGTAAAAAAAAAATCCGTAAAATTTACGGTAAAAAACCGGCAGCTGTAGTTGCCGGAATTTTACCATAAAAAATACGGTAGCAACACACAACCCTAATATACAAAACTGATAAGAAAAAACTAAGAAACATAGTTATTTAAAAAAGAAACATCAAATTCTGGGAATGTCAATTTACGGCTATTCACTGTAAATTATATGGTCTTTTTCACTTCCAAAAACGGTATACTACCGTAAAATTAATGTCCAATTACATGTAATGTCCAATACAGTTTTTCACCGTATATAGTAGGGGAATTTACCGTTAACCATTTAACAGGTTTTTACTGTAGCATTTTTACAGTCTTTTACCGTTAAATTCACCTAGACGACTTTTTCACTGGAGAAAGCAATATTATGGATAGTGGACTCGTTTGAAGTTAAAAACGTCTTGATTGATTCGTTTCTTACAAACACGCAGCTTTTCACTTCACAAGACATTAACTGATGGACTGGAGTGGTGTGGATTACTTGTGGATTATTGTGATGTTTTTATCAGCTGTGTGGACTCTCATTCTGACGGCACCCATTCACTGCAGAGCATCCATTGCTGAGACACTGATGCAATGCTACAGATATGATGAAGAAACAAACTCATCTATATCTTGGATGGTCTGAGTGTGAGCACATTTTCAGCAAATATTTCAATTTTCAGTCAACTATTTCTTTAAAAACATACTCCTCTAGTAATCAGTGTCAGTCCATGTGTTAAATACATGATTTTCCCGAGGCACAGAATGCCTCGTTTTCCATCAACAATTCCAAAGCGTCTTCGTTTCCCGGTATCGGTGCAGTCAGTGCAGATGAGTGCATGACTGGGTAAACACTGGGTTATAATGGCGAGTCTGAATGCGAGGGCTTGTGGATGAGTTATGGGTCCCCGCTGCCAAAAACAAGTCGTCAAGTCTGGAGCGGCCCGTCCTGGAGCTGTGTTTGCCCATCATCTCTCTTGCCTTTCACCCCCACACAAACCCACCTCGCCCTCTGATGTCTGTGTGCCTTCGTTAATGAAGAAATTCTCGTACCTGGGTGAGACATAGCAGTCAGCTGAGCAACTCTCGACCGCTCGCCCCGGACAGAGCTACATATACCCACCCACAGCAGTCCCAAATAAAACATTACAGCTGCTTCATGCCTCGGATGACCAGCTTTACCACGTCTCTCAGAATAACTGATGAAAAAACACACAGCAGATCTCTTTAAAATCTCTGTCTTTACTCCTACACAGCATTGAGATTAAATAGAGAGCAAATGGGGAACTTTAGGGTCCAAATTAAGGCCCCTGATTTTTTTCCTTGAGAAATTTCGGTTAAACTTTAGTTTGGGGACCAATTCTCACTATTAACTATGACTTTTGCATCAATAAACTCCTAATTTGCTGCTTATTAATAGTTAGTAAGGTAGTTGTTAAGGTTAGCTGTGGGTTGATTAAAGGATCTAGAATATGATCAGGCAGAATAATACATTAATATGTGCATTGTAAGTACTAATAAACAACCAATATGCTAATAATATGCATGCTAATAAGCAACTTAATGAGAATTGGTCCCTTACCAAAATTTCATATAGAGACAGATTTGCCAATGTCTGCAATAAAAACATCTCAACAGAAACTCAAACACTTGTCAAATTATCAATTTAACCATTGGTAAAAATAAGTACACTTTTAAAAAGAGTATTTATTACAGAAATAATATACTTTGAAATAATACTGAATGTAATGCTTTCAGACACTTCAATGCATGTTAACGTATTAGAAATTAAATGTTTATTAAATAAATAATCTGAACATTAGAGTGTTTTTTTTTACCTACTTAAGTAGGACTTAAGTACACTGTAAAAAAAAATTCCGTAAAATTTACGGTAAAAAACCGGCAGCTGTAGTTGCCGGAATTTTACCATAAAAAATACGGTAGCAACACACAACCCTAATATACAAAACTGATAAGAAAAAACTAAGAAACATAGTTATTTAAAAAAGAAACATCAAATTCTGGGAATGTCAATTTACGGCTATTCACTGTAAATTATATGGTCTTTTTCACTTCCAAAAACGGTATACTACCGTAAAATTAATGTCCAATTACATGTAATGTCCAATACAGTTTTTCACCGTATATAGTAGGGGAATTTACCGTTAACCATTTAACAGGTTTTTACTGTAGCATTTTTACAGTCTTTTACCGTTAAATTCACAGTCATTTTTTACAGTGTACATCTTTATATGTAATTTCAAAATTGCATTTATGGGTAGCTAAAATATACTTTAATGTAATTTCTATTGAAACTTGTATTTCACATATTTAAATATATTTGTAATAATACAATTTTGTTTTAATGAAGTTACAATTTAGTGTATTTAAGATATATTAACTTTAAGCGTAATATTAGTAATAACAAACTAGTTAAAATTATAATGAAGTTCTTTGTTAGTCACTACATCAAAATAAGTGTACTTCTTTAAACAAGAGATTATTAAAACATAATATTCATACATTTTTAAACTTTCAAGTTGCATTAATTAACATAAGTTAATGTGTTATCAACAAACATGAAATGAACAATATAACAATACAATTTATAATATTAAGTTATTAATAAATGCTGTACAAATGTAGCTCGTAACTCAGTGTTAGTGAAGATATTTCATGCAATAACTACTGTTAAGGAATTATTAACATTATTGTGAAGTGTTACCAATTATTTTCTGACATTTGACATTTGAATGCTGTGGTTGTGTTAAACATCATCAAATGTTTGTCTACCATTGTGACGAGTGAGCTGTGAAACTGTCTGCAAGAGGCACAGTTACTATTAAGTTTTCTGAAACATATGTGCCATTTCACGCACAACAATCACACTATGTCCAAGAGAGCTGTTAACAAACTGCACACTCTGCTCCGAACCATTAGCAGAGATGCCTGGGTGAGGAATAACTCCTGCTACCAATTATTTTCTGACATTTGATGTCTATTTAAGGAGAAAAGACAACGATCTATTATAGATCAGTGATCTTAACTGACTAGATTACTAGTTCACTAAATCGTTGGTCTTCTTCAAATAAAAATAAATAAATGCTGTGGTTGTGTTAAACATCATCAAATGTTTGTCTACCATTGTGACGAGTGAGCTGTGAAACTGTCTGCAAGAGGCACAGTTACTATTAAGTTTTCTGAAACATATGTGCCATTTCACGCACAACAATCACACTATGTCCAAGAGAGCTGTTAACAAACTGCACACTCTGCTCCGAACCATTAGCAGAGATGCCTGGGTGAGGAATAACTCCTGCTGATGTGAGAGCGAGGACGGCAGAGACATAATAAGCACCTACATCTGAAACAGATAAACAATGCATTAAAAAACACGTCCAGAAAATTGTTTTGAAAAAATAAAGCCAATTAACATTAAAGAATCAGGCTTTTCTAAGGAACAAATTGTGTCTGAAGAACAAGCAATATGAATAACGCCAGAATAATATTATTATAAAATTCTGTAGAAGGTCCAGAATAATGAAAATGAAAAAAAAAAAAAACTTGTCTAAGATGGTTAAGGGTTCATTAATAATTAAATAGGTCAGAGGAACTTTAAAAAAAAAAAATTATGCGGAAAAAAAAGAGATTAATCAGTAAACTACTATTATTATTTACACCCGCAGTCTAAAAGGGTCTCTAGGGCCTTTAGAAAGGTTAGGCTAGTTCTTTTTACTGCAGTAAAACTGTGTTAATTTAGTATTAGCCACCACTGTTATTAAATAAAGCTAAATAAATACACAAAAAATGTTTTTAAAAATGCACTGTTTGACAAGAGATTTATTTTGATTCTACTTGTAGTTTGAAACTGAATTTGAAAGTAACAACTGTAGTAAGCATGGTATGCTAGCAGTGGTTGCAATGGTACGATATGGGGTGGATTAAAAACATGAGGGTTCAATGGCGCCACCTGGTGGCCTGGAGAAGAATTATATATCAATAACCATTTGCCAACACTGCCCTCTTGCGCTGCTTGAGATGAATTAGACACCTATTGATTTACTGTTTTATCTATATTTGTTTTATTAAATAAAACGCTAAAATGTTTAATCATTAAAATTCTTCAAATCTTAAAACAGCAGAAAAATGCTTAACGTAAAAAAAAAAAGCTTTAAAAATCACTTATTTGTTGTTGTTGTTTTTTTTATTAAAAGATTGGTGGAAGGTGGAAGATTATGGAGTTTCTTTTGTGTCTGTTTTGTTCAATCAAACATACTGTGTTTGAGAGTAAAACTAATTATTTTGTAATTAAAAAATAAAACATTGCAAAAAAAAAAAAAAAGTCTTCTTTAAGATCAAAAATAAAAGAAATTGATAAAATTATTTGCAGTGCGTGAAAATCTTTGAATATTTTTCTTTGTAAACACTTTTCATCACGAAACCACAAATGTTGCTCTCTTTTCTGCTGTCTTTTTTTGCGGGTCTAAAAGTTTTGCTTGCAAGTGAAGCTGTCTCTCAGTGGGCGGTCTCTAGCCACCAGGATGAAAGGCTCTTTTCTATTGGTCACTCTCGATTAAAGTGACAGGTTGGCCACGCCCACTACGTTTTCTCGCCACTGCTGGGGCCTACCGGCTGCTGGGAAATTATATTTTTTGAATAATTATTTGTATATATGGGAGTTTGCAGCAGTGACAACAGCATTCTGTAAACAAACTCACACACTCATTGTCATCGCCCTGCTTGTAGTATATGTAGTGAATGGTTCAGTTTAGGTTTCCCCCACAGTTTGCCTAGTTGGTATGTTCCACAGATATACTGTGAACAGAATGAATGCACAATGCGCTAAAGAAGCCTGGCATGAGAGCTATTCTGTGTGTGTGTCTTTATGTTAACGTGCAGATTAACAAGAAACTACGGTGGCCGAGAAGTGCAAAGCAAATCACAATTCTGAAATAACTTTTTGATTATTTCCTTAATATTTATTGAAAAAAAATGCCTTTACGATGTGATACGAGATTTGAAAAGGGAGGAAAAAAAAGTTCGGCCTTTGCACTTCTCGGCCACCGTAAGAAACACAACACTGCTGTGTGAAAGGAACCGAACCAGACAACTTTCTGTAATGTCCTACAGTAACTTAAAAATGAGTGGATATAATCTGAGTGTCAGCTGAAGGTTTTAGATTCAGTCACTGTGTTCCAGCAGAGGTGCTGCTTCAAAGTCTCAATTTTAAATCCGAGGACGGAAAAACAGGAATCGTTTGCTTAAATGTGACCATTAAACTTTAAATGGCTATGATTGAATTACGCAAACATGACATGCTTCAAAATTGCAGTTGCAGTTAGCAATCACCAAATATCTCACATTTATGCCAACTTGCCAAGTGTTGTTTCGATCTACTGATGATGAATAAGGAATATTTTGTGTAATTTATGGTGTTTAAATCATACCCGTGAACTCACATTTCAGCCAGGAAAGTTTTGATGGCATTTTCTTTTCATATTACCTCTGTATAATGCCTGTAATAATGTATTGTTTACTTTATGTAATGGCTATAATTCTGCTGTTCCGCAAGCGCCACCTTCTGGCAAAGAGTGAATTTGCATATTCACATGTTACGCAGTGTTGTAAAAGTTAACTAGCTTATCAATAAGCAAAAAATAATCGAAATTTGATATAATTGTCAGGAAGAAAAAAAAAAGTCATCTAGGGGAGGGGGGGCCTACCGTAATGCTGTAGCCCAAAATTACAGTAATTTACCAGTAGGGTTTTCTTTTTCATGCTCCAAAGTTTGTAGTGTGTTCCTAGATACAAGACTGACTTACTACAGGTGAGATTTTGCCAATATCTCCCTTACTGTAAGTAAGTGTGTGTGTGTGTTGGTTTACGAGGACATTTCCTATGAATACATACCATACTATGAGGACAGGGCCGGTGTAATAGTAGTGCTTCTACACACAGGGGGCGCTCAAATTCAAAATTTCTCCATAAAAGTCTTTGGTGGTTTGATATACACCGTAGTCTGTATATATACAACAGTCTGAAGGTAGTAAGAACGTAACGATAAATAATATTGATTCAAGTATTTAACAATTAAACATGTACAATCTGGGCCAATATGAACACAGTGAAGTAGTGGATAGAAACACCATCAGTTATATTCAGCGCTATACTGCCCCCTGTTGGCGCAGTTGTGTAACTTGGAGAACTTTTGTTATGTGGAGATCACAAGATAATTAAGTCGTGATAACGAGAAAAAAATAGATATTTCAAGGCCTCTTAGGACTTCCGTATAATCATGCTATCAAGAATTTTCAGTCAAATCTAAAATTCACCTATATCAGACAGTAATTACATTACCTTACATTAAACCATAATCTCACTTCAGGGTAATACTGGACAAAGTGTGGTTCTCTAACCAGCGAATATAATAGTGACACAAACAGGCAGGGTTTGAAACGATTTATTAAAAAAACAAAAGCAAGACATGGCGCATTATAACACTTCCATCATCACAACAGTGAAATTGTTAGTCAAACAGTCATTTAACAGAAAGAAAACACGTCTAACTGAGCAGAACGGGAGGGTAAGATGAGATGATCTTTCAGAGGCTCTCAGCTGAACTTGGCTTTGGAGAAATCCATCTCTGGATGCTGAGCCATGAACCTGCAAACACACCAAACACAAGGAAGAGCACTAGTGAATTCAGAACAGGCCTGCAGGGACTGAATGATTTATATACACTGCTGTTCAGCAGTTTGATTGATGATTGTTTGAAAGACGTCTCGGTCTCGTCTCAGTTATATTGTGAAATATTGTTACAATTTAAAATACTTGTTTTCTGATCTATTTAAAAATGCTATTTATTCCTGTGATCAAAGCTGATTTTTCAGCATTATTACTCCAGTCTTCAGTGTCACATGATCCTTCAGAAATCAGTATAATATGCTGCTCAAGAAACATTTCTGATTAGTATCAATGCTGAAAACAGTTGTGCTGATTAATATTTTTGTGGAAACTGATACATTATTTTTCAGGAATCTGATGAATAAACAGCTTAAAAAAGAGCATTCCTTTGCTACAGAAATCTTTTGTCACATTATAAATGTCTTTATTAATTTAATGTGTCCTCACTGAATAAAAGTTTTAATTTTTATCTTTTTTTATCTCACTGGTAGTGCATAATATATATATTTTTCCCTTTTTATAAACAAATACTATGAATTTAATATCATTACGTTTTTGGGCTGTCGCACCACATGACATTTCACAACCTCAACTAACCTGGTCTTGTCATAACAAAAAAAACAATCTAATATTTTAAGAGACAGTCACGAGGGTCTGCAGGTGTTCTCTCTATGACATCATTTCCTGTTTCATGTTTTTTCTGGTCGCACCGCATGACTTTGTGCTCTTACTTCTTCAGGATGTCCTGCTTCTTCTGCTCTTCAGAGGTGGGCAGCCCCATGGACTTCTGCCTCTGATCATACATCATCTTCTCCACCATACCGCGCGTCTCACCGTCCAGATCTGACAGCTGAGCGCGTTCAAATTAAAACACGACATGAGATGAAAGGGTGTGATTAATCCCCTTGTCTTGTAATAATTAAATGTGTATTAGTCTACACAAAAATCCTCAAGTTTCATCAAGCTTGAACAAGCTGTTTGAAATCAACTCGGAAGCACTGATCGTGAAATAGTGAGCTCTTACCTTGGAGTTCTCTGGGCAGATCTTCTTGGTGTTGATTTCGGGGTCTGTGGTCACTAACCTGCTCCACCATTCCATTTTGTTTATCTGGAGTAAACGTGTGCATCATTAGTCATCCGGGCAAATCACAAGCTCAAATAAACGCCATGATCTCAGCCACACCTTCTCAAAATGGATGGTGACCACTTTCCCGTCCTCTATGAGCCAGGAGCTCTCCTCCACCTTCACCTCGTTGCACAGCTGTCCGTCGATCACAGGCGGATGACCCTTCAGCCCCACCTTCAGGGAACGCCGCTGGATGTCCACCACCACGTCCTTCCCCTTCAGACGGAAGCTCACATCGAACGGCACGACCAGCTGCGACAGGAGGTGACAGATCGGATATCCGTCGTTTTTACTGACATTATTTTCACGAAATAATTTTATAATGCAACACGTTGTTTTCTTTATGCAAAATATGTTATTTTCCCCCTTTTGATTTTGGGTGAAGTATTTCCATGGGCATAGGTGCTGATCCCGGGGGTGCTCGAATGGCTGAGCACCACAGAAAGACACAAGATATTCTCCACTAGAAAAAAAAAAGGCATTTGAGATTCGGGAACCTCTCTGATTGGTGGATCTCACATCCTGTCCTTGAGGGTCGTGACACACACAAATGCCTCTTTACAGTGGCTAGTTAATCAAGTTTTGTTTGTTCCGTTCCCACAATCAGTCAGACTGAATCAGACTTTTCGTTATTTATGATACTGACCTGCATTCACTTCATAAATCTGTAATGTTTTCAACATTTAATAAAAAGACTGTTCGGATAAACCTTATGTGTTTGGGCAGTTTTCATAATCAGGAGTTAAAGTTTTATATCGCAGTATGCTTCAAAGTCAGAAAAAAAGAGCAGGATATTTGTTAAAGGGATAGTTCACCCAAAAATGAAAATTTGATGTTTATCTGCTTACCCCCAGGGCATCCAAGATGTAGGTGACTTTGTTTCTTCAGTAGAACACAAACGGAGATTTTTAACTCAAACCGTTGCAGTCTGTCAGTCATATAATGGAGGTGGATGGGAATCACGGCTTTGAGAGT